GTAGAAAAATATTGACTCGTAATAGGTGGTTGTGCAATAGATCAATCTCTCCAAACAACTCTATAGAAAAAACAAATCAGAAACAAATGGGTGGCTCGATTAGACAAAAGAGACCACAAACTTCTCATACTGAAAATGGATCAATTTCTCCAAACCAAACAATAGATCAATTTCTCCGAACAAAAGATCAATTTCTTCAGAATTCTCACACCAAAAATCCTTCAATTATCAAAGATAAAAAAGGTGAGACAAAAATTACAAACCAAACAGAGCAAAAATTTAAAGTTAAAGGATATAAGGTAAAGGAGGATGAAGGAAAACAAAAGCAGAAAAGGCAGGAATCGAGCTCTCACCACAGGTATTGGAGAATGAAGGAAACAAATGGTAGAAGCCATGGCCAACAACGTCATTTCGCTAGAACTAAAACACAGAATGCGGGTCAAGGACGGCGACTTCAAAAAGAGGGCTTGTTTAATAAAATGCACCCATGTCTTGGAAACCAAACATTGAAGGTAGTGTTTTCGTGCCGCGCCGCAGCAAATAAACTGTCACAAACACACCCTTAATCTTTGTGCACAATTTCTATTCGCATGACTTTTTGTTCACTCATTTCCCTTCATAAGTCATTCAGATGAATTTTCTTTATAGGCCTCATTGAATTCTACCCTCATTTGTACATAACCAGGCCAACAAACCTATCTTCCACAGCCTGATCTTTAATATTAATTACTCCCCTGATCTCTTTTCTATAATCATTTTTCAATTTATCCTTCATAGTATATTCAATACTTCAATCTAAACATTTTCACTTCTACTAACACTAAGAACCATGTAAGTAAGCCAAACTAATCATAAATTTGTAAAATTTAAAGTCCGCATGACTCTCTTTCTCTTATCATAAAATACACCAGAGGGAACTCCCCCATGTAAGCTACTCAGCCTCAACCTTAGAAGTTGAGCATTGTTTGGTAAAAGAATCTTAATCTCTGGCGACCCTCAAATATTAATAAACCAAATAAAAAAAGAATAATAAATTGCAACATAAGGGCTTGTTCAGTTTATTTTTAAGCGCCAAATGCACAATATGCATTTCCATAAACCAGTCTAGCTTAATTGAGCTTCTCCTACAAAGCTTGCTCAGGCGTTAGTTAAGATGAACGCAACCAATCCCTAACTTAAAATTTAGCAAAAGCCAAAAACCATCCAAATGAAAGAGTAATAAAAATTTATAAAGACAATTATAACAGCGCATAAAATGGATGGTTAATCACTTTATTAATTATTAATAGTAATAAATAGCTCATGAGTCATATGGTCAATATTTTAACTAAGTTCACTAGTATTTTAAAAGATTAAACTTGAAATAGTTAATAAATGATTATTTATTTCAATAAAGATAACTTTGCAATTTAATTCTAAATATAGCATCTTAGTAGTTTAGAGCTTAAGATTATCATGTTTACTTTTTGTGCATATGTTGAAAATGAGCTATGGCCTAAAAATTTCTTATTTTTTTATTAAAATTACAGTTCCAATCTAAAATAGCAGGTTTACCTGCAAGAATGTCAGACTCATCCTAAGTCAGTTTCTCATCCATGATTTCCACACAATCAGATAATACTCACATTTTATCACATGAAAAATGAATATGGCTCTTGAATGGTATAGAGTTAAAGTTTTCTAGGAAAAAAAATGACTTAAGTCTATTTGGTCGGCAGCATAATCAGTGTATTGCATGAAATTTTGAAAATTTAGCATTTGTTAGTAAGTAATTGAAATTTAATGTAAAATAGCATTGTGCATGAAATTCAACTCTTAATTAATTTAGCCGAATTTAAAACACACAACTTAATGTAAAGTTTTGTCAGTTTCCCAGCATATCACCACCGTCGCCGTTGCACCGCTCTCGGACTATGCAGTTAGCCATCACCGATGTCGACAGCCACTGCAGGTCACCTTCATCATCGTCGGCCTCTCGCAGGAGCGCATTTTCTATGCGGACTCCTGACGTAGCTCTACCTGCGGTGCAGGTTATTCCTGAGTTATTTTACCTACGGTGGAGGTTATTCCTGAGTTATTTTCAGGTTATTTCTGGGTTATTTTCAATAATCCTGAAATAACCCGCGGTCTTTATTTTTGGGTTATTTTTTAGTTATTTTAGGATTATTGAAAATAACTCATAAATAACCTAAAAATAACTCAGGAATAACCTCTATCATATGTAGATCTACGTCAGGAGTCCGCACAGAAAAATTAGGCCTCTCGCAAGCCACTGCCCATCGATAGTCACAGCCGGCCGCCTCTCGCCACAACAG